GAGGTGGCCGTGTGGTGGCGGTGAGGTGACCGTGTGGTGGCGGTGAGGTGACCGTGTGGTGGCGGTGAGGGGACCGTGTGGTGGCGGTGTTCGTGCGTTTAACGCGTCTCATGTCAGCTTCATTCCAGGACCGCCTGCTACCAACGAACTAAAGTTACTCGCTGTGACTGTCACGTACCGTACACGTAAAGTTCAACAAATCATTAATGATTGCTGCGGATGATTGAGTCGCTCAATGAGCGCCAGAGTCCGAGATTATGTTTTGATCAGATACACGGATAGCTTGGCTCAAAATCTCTGGCTTGTAAGGGTATGATAATCGCTTTTTATGTCTAAATTTACGATGCAAATAATTCAATCTCTTTTATTAACGTAAGCCAACTCGCTGAATCCTTTTATTTAAAAAATTACTTATTTCGTAGTGCCACGAGCATGCCATACGTAGAGGTCTACATCTGAACGTCTGGTGAAGGCCGAGCTGAGCTCACATTCTTCGAACAGAATTTGATTGATTATATATTACCTTCGTTTGTATATATGTGCAGTTCGATTTGTTTGTATATATGTGCAGTTTACCTCTTCGCAAAATATAAGATGGACCAGTTATCATTTCTTATTGAGCATTAACATTATTCTGTTCAGTCTGTGTTCTCCATTTCTTAGCATCGATACGTGTACGTGACGATGGACGTCATTAAGGGCATGAAAGCTTCTTGAAGATTATTGCATTACTTTTCTGCCATGGGACAAACTTATGTTGATAGAACAGCAGCGCAGCATGACCCGGCAACTGCGCATTTTGAGCCGTGCGATTTTAGAACTTCTGAGAACAAGGCACGAAAAGTAAAAGAATCGGCGACATGCCATATCAGGCCTACACTTCAGCGCCGAGATCACTATTTTATGTCATGTGGAGGATAAGTAATTAGTAGGAATGATGTCCGTAGATTAAGGCCTGTAAATAATGTAGGGAGTAACCGCATACATCAAAGTGAAAGTGCACAAAAAGTTTTAAAATGTTTTTACACGAACTCGGATTCCGTTTTGAACAAAAAAAAGTGAACTGTAAACTGTGATCGCAAACGAGTGTATAGACATTATTTGTATTACAGAAACACTTCCTAAAAATCACGGGGGAAAATTGTACCTGTTGAATTATAGCTGCCAGGTTTTGATTGTTTTCATCAATCAGCTAGAGAATCAGTGTGGTGTGAACTTACTCTAAAAGGCAAAGATAGCCTTCTCATAGGGGTCATTTACAGATCACCTAACAGCTCCTCTGATAACAATAAAGTACTAAACAGCCTTTTACCGAGCATGTCATTCAGCAGGTCGCATACGTTGATCGTTGGTGACTTTAACCATCCAGAAATAGACTGGGCA